AAAAAAAAAAAATATGTGGTGTGTGTGTGTGTAGAGGAGAACGCGGTGCAGCCAGTGAGTGGTCCAGTGGTCATATGTGGTGACCTTCATGGTCAGTTAGAGGATTTATTATTTTTTATAAAAATTTTTGGTGTAAGAGAAGATAAAAAGTATATATTTTTGGGGGATTATGTAGACCGAGGAAGAAACTCAATAGAAACAATAATACTTTTATTTTTATATAAAATAAAACACCCACATAAATTTATTCTTTTGCGGGGGAACCATGAAACTAAACAAGTATGTTCGGTGTATGGTTTCTATGATGAATGTTTATATAAATATGGTAGTGTAAATGTGTGGGGTTTTTGTTGTTCTGTATTTAATTTTTTTAGTGTTTCTTGTATTGTTGAGCTGTCTGTACACTGCGTGCATGGTGGTTTGTCTCCTTATATATTATATATAGATGACATAAGAACACAACAACAAAAAGGAAATAGTATAAATATAAATATACATATCAATGATCTTCTTTGGGGTGATCCATCACCATATATAAAATATTGGGGCCCTAACCCTAGAGGTGCTGGGTTTATATTTGGCGCTGCAGCAGCAGCTAGGTTTTTATATACAAACAACCTGCTGCTGCTGGTGCGCTCCCACCAGCTAGCTGTATACGGGTTCAACTATCCTTATATAGATTCTTCTTTTTATAATGTTCTTACTATATGGGGGGCCCCAAACTACTGCTACCGCTGCAACAACCTAGCTGCTGCTTTATATATAGATTCGCTGCTGCAGCAGCATCTATATATATATAAACACAACCAACCTCTCTCTTTCTTTTCTCTCAATAATATTAATTATAATAAAAATAATTATTTTTATGATGATGATGATGATGAGGGAGAGGGAGAGGGAGAGGAAGAAGAAACAGAAAAAAAATATATACTTTATAAACATAAACACACTACAACCCCACCCTTAAGCAACGCTTGCGCCTCGCAGTACTTCGCCTGATATGTACACGTGTTTATTTATATTTATATTTATATATATATATATATATATATATATATA